AGTCTTTGCTGATGAATTGGGAATTATTTGGAAGAATGAAAGCTACAGTATATTAGAAATCTTGTAACAGGTTCTATGACTTAGAGAAGAAGCTTCTTTATAGCTGCTCATGACTTTGTTGTTACTATGAAAAATCTGGTAAGTGGTTTTTAATTTACATGTTTGTAATACTTACTTGGAATTATTCTAGAAAGGACAATGTCATTTTAAGATTCTTCATAACCAAAGTTATTTTTGAAAATATGTTTACTCTCACATTGTTTTTGGGGGACATTGTTTACCTTACTGATCTTTTACTTATATTTTATTGATATATTATTTGGATGTTGTCTGTGTGAAGGTGTGCATAGTGTTTGCACACAAGTGAATTTCTTCTGCTCCATTTCTTTTTGTTTGTTCATTTTATTTCATCCATGTTTTTTTTTCATTTATATTTACCTGTTTGTTTTCTGAAGAGAGAGAGAGAGAGAGAGAGAGAAAGAAGCAATGGAGCAGAAGCATCAGGAGGCTTTTCATTTGGGGTTTGTGTGTGTGTGTGTGTGTGTGTGTGTGTGTGTGTGTTTGTGTGTGTATATGTGTGCATATATGTGCGTGTGTTTGGGTGAAGGTGTGTGTATGCGCATGTGAATTTCTTCTGCTCTCTCTGTTTCTTTTTGTTGTTGTTCATTTTGTTTTATCCTTGTTTGTTTGTTTTTTTCTATTAACCTGCTTGTTTTTTGAATAAAGAGAGATAAGTTGTGGGGTGGGAAGAGTCAGGAGCTTGGAGGATCTGGAAGATGAAGGAGGGTAAATAATAATCAAAATATATTATGTAAAATGTTTATTTTCAAAAAAATAATATAATAAAATATTCTGAGTAGCTATTTTAAAGATTCATTGTGTGGTGTATAAACACTGTAGCATTATTAACCAAAAATTTAAAGAAATAAACCACTTTCAGATGAAAATGCTTATCAGAGGTGGGCTAGTCAAGGTGCCAACCATATTTTTTTTCACAAGGAATAATTTTTTTCTAAACATCAAGTCACTAAATATGCTGATTTCCTGGTTGTTTAGGCACCCTTTCCATCCCACTCTCCATGTATTTCCACAACAGTAAAACGGGCCTCGTGGTTATGAAGTCTGTAAATTTGTATTTGAAGCAACTTACAAGGAGATATTTTGAGTTTTGGAAACCTAATCACGTAAGGCTCTGGAACCTGGTGTGCTTCCTGGATTTTTGGCTGGCAGTTCCATGGAAAGCAATGCCCCAGAGCTTACACACAGTTGCATTTACCTTAAAGTTCTTCAGAGAAAAAAGTAAGGACAGGTCTCCCTGCTGTGAGGCCCAAGGCATGGGCTTGCCAAATGACATCCATGGATGCTGCATTCTCAGTGGCCCAAAAGAACTTCTCCACCCCCGCACCATCTGAGGCATATCTATGGGGTTCTAGTCTTTACCTTTTCTCTTGTTGTTTTCTTCTTTTTCCTGTGGACTTTGCACTGTCCTACCACTCATAGCTGGTGGGAGGAGGAAATGGGGTTTTGTATCACCTGCTCACTTGGTGGTTTACTAGAACATCATCTCCTTTACATGTGCAAATAAGCCTTTTTACAAGTTCCATTTTTACAAGACAGCAAGTATGCCGAAGCTACTAAATTATGTGTTCAAGTAAGACACTCATTTTGGAAAAGAAGAGGTATAGAGTTGATCTATTCCTTGGAAAAATCTACACTAAATAAAATTAAATGTCCTACTGAACATTCAACTTTCAGCCTTTGTGTTTTGTGTTTCAGTGGGAACTGCTAGATTTAAAGAAATTAAACATTATCACAGAGTTCGAGTGCTGGGGATACTTTTGTTATCATCATCTCACTTGCTTCACAGGTAACCTAGGGCAGGCCTGCAACAGATAGGAGACACAGCGACGACCCACAATAAAAGATCATTCACTAGCTGAAGAAATGCTTTCTCTAAAACGACTCTGGGACATTTGTTCTGCATTGTGTGACCCCTTCAGAGTAAAGGCACTATTGGCTTTAGCACGATGGGATCAGTTTGCTTTTGTGAACCTTACAGCAGTTGTACCCACTGTCTTCTCTAGTTCCTCTCATTTTTATTGGTTTCCCCTCTTGTGGCTTCCCAGCTTCCCTGAAGGCTGTAATGCGGCTTTCTAAGGTACAGAAACATCTAGACATATAGTAAGAGAACCCAGGCTAACATCAGGCTGAGACCTAATTGAGATTTAATTGCAAATACCTATCCAACATTGTGTACATATATATAAAAATGTATATATATAATGTACATATATATGAGGTTCACACACAAACTAAGATATATTGTATTTTTGTTCTCCAATTGACAGTTTTTCTCTGAATAAATGAAGCACCAAATCTGCAAGAATTTAAATATAGAGATTTGAAATCATGATTATATGGCACTGAGAACCAGAGATAAAAATTCATGATTAGGATTGAAGACAAACAACATCATGACAGATTGTACCTTCACAAAGATGTAGCTGTGGGATGTGGAGGTGGCTCAGTTGTTAAAGTGCTTGATCTGAGACTATAAAGACCTGGGTTTGGATCCCCAGAATCCATTCAAACAACTGAGTATGGTGGCACTTGCATATAATCTTAGCAGAGATGAAAATTGAGAGGTGGAGACAGGTGGATCCTTGGGAGCTCATGAACCACTTATTTTGGCCTATGTGATGCAGCTCTAGGCCAATGGGAGATTTTGTCTCAAACAGAAAGGTAGAAGGTACCTGTTGTGGTTTCATTCTGAAATGTTTCCTGTAAGCTCATACAGTTGGTCATGTCACCTGCAGCCGGTAGCACTTTAGGAAGGTTGTGGAATCTTTAAAAAGTGGAACCTTGAGGCCACTGGTGGCTTGCCTTGGTGCTTTATAGCTTGGTCTCACTTTGTGTTCAAACTCTGAGTGTGGACGCAGTATGAAAGCAAGCTGCCTGGTCTTGCCACCCTGCTTGCCCTGCTGGCTGGCATGTTTTTCCTAGCATGATGCACTGTATCCTTCTGGAACAGTAAGCCAACATAAAGCCCTGTTGAGGTATTTCATCACAGTAAGGGAAAAGTGACTAATATAGTCCATGAGAACTAACATCAGAGGTTGTCTTCAGAGCTCCATATGAGGGTTTTGCACTCATGTACCTGCACCCCTATGAACATGTGTGAGTGCATACACCCATGGGTGTGCACACACATAACTAGAACAAAAGAGAAAACCAAAGGCTTTAGGTAGGGCTATAGTCTGCTGCCAATGTGGAGAAACAAACATAGGTTAAAACTATTTAAGGTGCTGGTGAGATGGTTTAGAAATTGAGAGTATTTGTTGCTCTTGCAGAGGACCTGATCTGGCTCACAATTTTCTGTAACTCTCGGTGCAAGGTACCCAAGGAGGAGGCTGGACAAGCTTGGTCTTGTGATGCTGAACCCACTGAAGTGATAACACACAGTTATTCATGAGTCTTCATAATCTAAGTTTTAAAATACCTTGATTTAATTTTAATTATGTGTCTGTGTATGGAAAAGTACACCTGAGTGCAGGTGCCTAATGAGGCCAGAAGTATCTGAACCTTCCTGGATCTGGGGTAGTTGTAAGTTACCCTAAGTGGGTGCTGAGAACCATGCTGGGTCTTCTGCAAATCGGTATGCACTTTTAACTGTTGAGCCATCTTTGCAGCCTCATAACTCCTGTATTAGATATTACCTTTGAAGTCTGTTGCATTGGTGGTTAAGTTTTGGAGACACATTACAACCATAACAACATACCTGTGTTTATCTCTATCACCCACCACCAGCCCCGTGCATAGGCCAGATCTGAAACACCCACCCTCATCTGTTATCCCTTTAGTCCCTTCAAATACTGTATTCCGTCTATAAAGAAGCAGACAGACCGAATTCCATGAGAAGCTTTTCCTTGTGGTCATACTCCCTTAAAAAAACACCCTTGCCCCTTTCTATCATTTCCACATTGAAAGACATAGCATTCTTCTCACAAAAGGCTGACTTTCTTTATTGTTTCTTTTGGCCCTATAACATCTGGGCACAACCAAGGCATGGGCTGCAACTCTAGTCTTTGGTGAGCTCACTCCTACCAAACTATGGGCTTGATTGTGCATTGTAGGCTTATGACAGTGCCACCACTTCCCGGAGCCATGACCTCTGGACTTAGTCCTTATATTATTCTTTCCTGTGGAGTTCTGCAATTTTTTCTGTCCTCCCTGAGTTCATAACCACTCCCTTCCCATCAATTTTCCATTCACCTCCCTAAGTCCCAGCTAGACTCAGACTAGACTCAGGCTCATCTGCCCAGCAGCCTCTGTGACTGCTGTGCTGCTGTCAAGCTCATCCTTCTTTAATTAGGACATTGAGCTCTTCCCATGATAGCATAGTCTCTGCCTTGTCCTCACTCTGTAGCCCCCTTTCTATACCCTGTGATCAAGCCATTCCTAACTAATTTCCACTCAGTGCTCTGGGATCTCTGACCTCTGTGCCTGGAATAACCTTCCTCACCCCCAATCTGAACTGATTGAGCCAAATCCTGACTCGGCCTTTCTAACTTCATAGTTTTGTCTGAAGTTCTAGAAGCTTCTCTTCAACTTTCCCTGAAGTCACCCTAACCTTGGATTATTTCCCTTCATATGCAGGGTCATGGGAGAGAGCTGATAAGTGTGCTGAAATAAGAGGGAATAAAGTCTTAGAGCTTAGCTTGGTCATAGAGAGGCTCTTTATTTTCAATGAGCAGCTTCCCACAGATGGAAGACAAATACTCCTATGATAAAAATTATACACGATGAGCAAAAACCCCTGATGTCTAAAGGTATTCACAGATTTTATGATTTTCTTTTCTACCATGTTCAAATTATTCAGTTTTTATTGGAGTTTCCTGTGGTAACAAAATATAAAATTCTTCTTTTTTCTTATATCTCTTGGCAAAAAGGAGACTATAAATGAAAATATTTGAAAATTTCACTTTTATTTTCACTTTTTCTTGAGGGAGGCAGAAAAAGAAAAGTCTAACACAAATCATTTTTTCCTTTGAAGTGAAGAAGAGAGAGAGGTGGAATGAAAAAGAAGTGAGAAGTACTGGGGTATTCATAAGGAATGAAGATGAGCTTAGCTTCAGATATAAAACAGAGGCACATAATTTAAATGCAAAGTCCGAAGCCTGACCAACCAAGGCACTGAATTTACAAAGCCAAACCCATACAAACTTCAAAACTGCAATAAACATGGAGTGGCGGAGAAATGGAACAAGAGTTTCCTGTTAGCTCCATTGCTGCTCGCCCATGCTTTCAGATGTGACCTGATCACCCAGGTTTGCAGATGGCCCTTGAGCAACAACCGTTTTCTTAACATGACTTGGCCGGGAGTTGTGAACTTTGGCTCAGGAGATGGGCTTTTGCAGTGACCTGCCAAAAGAGGCTCGCAGCTTAGTGCTGGGCATACACTATGCTGAGGAAAACCTTGAGCCAAACTGGCCTTGGCTCTGCAGAAAGAAACGATTCTAGGTTACCAGAGGAAAAAGGGGAGCAAGGCACCTCTGTTCTGACCATGCAAGTAGAGTTAACAAGACTGGTCGCTTTCCAAGCCTCCAAATGAAAATGGCCACTTTAAATGTGAGAAAGATACCCCGGGCCCAGATTTCAAATAACACTACTATGTTTCTTTATTTATTTTCATTTTTGTTTTTTGTTTGGGGATGATTTAGACTTTGCTTCAAAACAAAGTAAAAAGCCTAAAGCCTAAGTTATGTTGAAGCTGACACACAAAAACAACCCAGCTTTGCATCCATTAGCTATTCTAAGAAATTCTAACGTCAGAGTTCATTAATCCCAGGACCTGGACCTCTGTCATATATTCATTCCTAGTGTTTTGGCAAAATCACCCCATGTCATTGCCTTTATTGGTGGCAGGCTTATTTTCCAGCTGTCAAATAATTTTTTTCCTTCCTATTTAAGAGTCAGAAATAGAAACATTCCCTCATAAAGGAACTGAATAATTTGGAACATGAACAATATAAGTATTTATTTGAAAAATCATTTTCCATTTCAGTAAAATGGCAAATCAGCTTTAGTAGTTTTTCACTACCAACTCTGGTTTGCCCTCACAGTTACTCTTATCCATCATATTTAAAGATATTGCTACAGAAAACTATTTCACAACTTTTTTGAAAAAAAAATAGTCTCTCTAGTAGAAGATTAGCTAAAACAGTAAAGCTAGGTGGTAGAAAACTAAGATTTGAAACAAACTGACATGAACACAAATAAATAAATATGTACAGAAGAGACATTGCCAATATCTTTACATGGTAAGAAATAGTGACAAGAATGGAGATTATCTCAGACTCTAAACTAAAACTCTTAACAACACAGTGAAAAGAGAGAGTGATGAGTAATTATGCAGACTCTGGATTGGGATTGTTTCATAGTTGGTGTAGGTGGAACTTTGGCTCTCCAGTGGAATTCTGCCTCATTCTTCTGAGGAGCCAAAAATGGAAACGAGAGCCACATATTTGGAGCTGAAGGTAGAATTTGGATCAGTCTTTTAAATCCACTTGCAAATATTTCTAGGCTATTGTTTCTTCATTTTCTTTTTCTTACTTGGTTATTGAAGATTTTAAAGTGGAGCCAACATTATTCCCAGGTGAGAAAAAATAAAGGTTTTATTAGCTCTGAATGCTTGTAAGAAGAAATAAAAAGGAAAGCCTATTCTGAAGCTAAGTCATAAACTCTATTAACTAAATATTCACTTTGTGCATAAATCTCACAGTAGAAAGCTAATTAGGATCTATCGGGAACACCTAAGTTTGGGGGAAGTATGTGAATATACAGTGACTATTTGAAATTAAATTTTCCTCTATGCGTCCTCTGGTACAATGAGCAGCCTGCTAATATAAGCCCAAAGAAAAAGACTGGCTCTACTGAGGTGACGCTTAGTCACCTTAATATTCACTATCCCTTTCTTCTACATGGCCGCCGCCTCTGTGAAAACCAGGCCTAGCAAAGTTCAGGTGCACCAAGACGGCAGTCCAGGCCACCACAAAACGGAATGGCAATAACAACCCACTGCCACAGTCCAGCATCCTTTGCAGCTTGGCAAATAACTCCATGGTTGACACTAGAGAAATGAGAGGGCCTTTAGTTGTTGCGAAGCCTACAGGATCTTGTAGCCAGGAATGACCTCCTTTCTGTACAGACTGACTTTGCCTTTTGTCATCACTGTGCTGCTATCTTGCCAAATCTGAAACTTCCCAGAGAACCCTAAAGGGTTCTTTAGCAAGGCTAAAGCCACCATACACTGAGGCCTGTGGATAGGATAGCCTCATTAAAGCACACTTTGTTTAGGATAGTATAAGCTGCTTAGTGTTATGCATAACTTGCATGCTGCAGTCTGGTTCATAAATATTATACTATAAAGTAGTATATTTCGCCAGCCCTCCTTAGGCTCTTACACACTCTGAATGGAGGGCTCAGTGCAAATAGTTTTTAGACTAGCAGTTGTAGACCTATATGTTTATAAATTATTGTGATTAACCAAGACAGCTGTGTGTTTCAGTGTATGTCTCTTGGAACAAAATATCACTTGGAGGACTCAGAGATCTCTGAAGTTTATGTGATTTGAAATATCTTAAAAATAATTAAAGGAAGAATAGGACTACTTAGTCTCAAAAGTGTGTCCTCTAAACAGTGAGAGGCCATTACATACAGTGTGCATTCAGTGAAATTCTCATTCCTCTAATGAGCCTGTGGTCCGATTTCCCAGTGAAGGAAGATGGAGGAGATGCTTGTTTTTAAATCTCAGGAGGCCCACTTTAATTCAGTGTCCATATTCAACTGGATTTTACATGCATGGGACAATGGTGATGTTTCAGTTGTATGTCTTGAGATATTAAAAACTTACACAACATTAGCCAGATCAAATTTTTCAAATACTTTCTTGCAATTTTTATGAATGTTAAATATGTTTAATACGTGTGTCAAATATTAAACATTCTTTTCTACTTATGGTTGAAATTTCACTGAAAAAGAAAAAGATGCTGCTATATTCATAGAAATAGCATTGGAACAAAACCTGTGAGCATCCACAATCACTACAAACATCAATTACTGTTTTCTACATCATCTTTGTAAGAGTCAGGCCACATCCAAGCCTAACTATGAGGTGTGGTAAATGAGATCTAAAGTAGAATTTGTTCTTGGGTTTTTTTTTCTTCCATGATGCCTTTCCCCTCATTCTGTTGAGTTTGATTCAATTACATTCTAAACAGTCGTATCTCTTAGAAGTGCTCAGCGTGCTCTCAGTTCTGAAGTGTGATGTCAGAAGCTCATCCACAGAAGAAATATTCCAAAAAGAAGAATTCTGCATCCCACAGCAGCTTCCCTAACAAGAGGCAGTTCTCAAAGCTCTGCAGCTACCTAGGGAACAACACACCGACTTTAGCTGTTCATAGCTTTTGCTGCTTGTAGTTCTTCACAGTTCTCTAGACGAGCTTCCTTTTTATTTTTTTTTCCTCATATTGGTGACATTAAAACTTTGTGCTGTGGCTGAAAGTATCTGACAGGATAATATTTTTATAGAAGTTATCTGAATGAGCATTACAGTAACCCTTGACCTTATCAATAACCTGGTGGACGGGGATGATTGATGTCTGTTCTCCACCAGCATGGGTCAGTTTTGACAAGGACTTGTCCATGGAAGTGCTGTCTGCAAGAAATGATGCAAGAGATTAGTCTGCAAGATTAGCTGGTAACAAGCCCACGGCCATGGCACATGGAAGAACACAGTGGGAGGGAAGTTCTGGGTTCTCTGACAGGTTATGGAAGAGGCAGTACTCAAATATGCTCCCCCTTCAGATGAACTTCTCATATTCACTCAACCTCAGCTTGCTTTCGTGTAACTTCTGTTATGGCATGTTATAAGAAAATGTTCCCCAAAATGGCATTCTTCAGAATTAATGAATAAAATAGTTGAACTTAAAAAAAATTATGCACCCTATGGCTCCAGTGTCAGAAACAAGGTAAAAACTGAATGAGACTGTGTTGAAATGCTCATGAAAAAAAGATTATTTAAGATATATTTTACAAATAGTGTAGAGTGTGAGAAAGGGAGCACATGGCTGCCCCTGAGGCTACAAGAACAGGGAGATGAGTTACAGTCTATGCATAGAAGTCTGACACCATCTAAAGATTTGATAAAATTTAACTTAAATGCTTTTGGAGAGTAAATGTGAATTAAGACACACATGAAAGCAGTGCTGAGTGCATTTCCTCATGGTTGTTAGTTGTGATATGAAGGGAAACCAACAAAAGCATTATCATTTCATAAAGTCAAAATTATCCTCACCAGACGTGTCTCAAAAGCAACGTCGGAGAAATTAATAGCAATTAAGGACTACTAGACACATTTCTAGAATTTTTCAGTACTAGATAAGTACATGCTATTTTTTTCACAGGCTCTGAAACTGGCTCAGGTAATGGTCTGATTACCCCTTTGATCAATGTAAATCTGTGTTTCTATGAATATAATCAGTCTATCTTCTCCCTTCTGAAATGCTCTGGGAAAAGTTTTATCCCCAGGTTAACGAAATTACAGATTTCACAGTGTTGATAAAGAAAAAAAGTAGTGTCCCTGTAGTCATATCTTCTCTATACTTTGTGAGAGAGACAAAAAACAAAATGCTACCCTCAAAATGCTGGTCTCTGTAGCCAGAGATCCATAATTTGGAGTATGCACTTCAATCATTTTATGTTTTGGGTAAACTGGAGCCAATATAGGAAATGACTTGTAAAATGCATCACTAAGTATTAAAGTCTAAGACATTGTCATAGTATGTATTGCTCCGCTACTATTCTGTGTCAGGGCACACACCAGTTCAGAACACAGGAAGTGGTAGTCTCATCCCATACTTTAGGAAAATGGGGAGAAGAGGAGATGATGTATTGGACAACTGGCAGATGAAATGACAGAGTGACTGAAGCATGTCCTAGCACTGATTAGGAAGAACCTGGAGGAGTCATACAAGGCCCTGTCCATGACGCTCCCAGAAAGCTCCTTGATTTTGTGCTTCCTTTAGGTTCACAGATTCACTAGCCACTGGTTTTCTGGTGAGGATTACCTTATTACTTTAAACATAAATAATGAATAATTTGTGTTCAAAGTTTTTAGCAAACCACAGGACCTCAGGGAAATGCTAAAGATGCATCCCTTCTGGCTCCTGAGCAGTGCCCAAAAGCACGTATTTTTAGAGACTGTAATTGGCCTCATTCCAAGTATACGACTCTACCGGGTGGTTCTTCATTCTCTCACAGAATAAAGCTGTGTGCATGAATGTAATACATCACATACATACATGATGTCCCATGGCTTCTGCTTAAAAGTCACATAAGGAGTAACAAAGATTCAGATTGTTTCTGAAAACGAGGGGCTAGAGATATGAACCATTGTTTGATATATATTGAAGTCTCAAGCAGATAAAAACCACCACAAAGCAGCTTGAAATCAATCATTTCTCATTCAAGACTTCTACGAATGTACCATGACACACTCAGGAATCCAAAAAGACAGTGAAAAGAAAAAAGGAAAGAGATGTCACATCATATAACAAAAAGTTTATTAAGCACTTCTTTTTTTGGTTTTGTTATTATGTTACATGCTATGTGACCCGCTCATCTGGAGCATGGTACATTTCCTAGAAGGCACAGCTTGCACAGCCCATGCAGAGAAGAGCTGGCCCAGCCCACTGTCAGAAGTTTCAGATTTCAGCTCAGTGCAGGAGTATACCGTTGTGCTAGTTGAGAAGAACTGCAAAGAACAAGCCGTTTTGCTGGTGCAGCAAGCACCTTAGCTTAATTCATGCACATGTTCTCATTACCTTGCACAAATTCATGCATCAAAAAAAAAAAAAAAAAAAAAAAAGCAGAAAAAGTTACCTGAATGTTGCAGTTCTGTTGATGGAATTCTCTTAGGAGAAATTATCTATACCATAAACATATGAATGTCTAAATCAATTCCAAGAAATAAACCAGCTACATAGTCATGAGGATATGGAGTGGTTTTCTGCACATTCCAAACCATCCTCAGTAGACAGCTGTCTTGGCAACAACTGGCAGGGATTTAGACTTGCAAATCAACTGTAACCCAAGCTTTTCAACCCGAGTTGCTAGTACAGACACCTCACATGTATCCCTGAAGTTTAGAAAAAGTTCAAATACTAGTCTCTTCTGCACCACTGGCTTCAGTTCACCTGCAGTGGCTAAGCGGAGTAAACGCTTCCAACTCCTTTCCATTATGCTCTTAGATATATCTTCAGAATACAGCAAGTGCCAGCACAGTGTAGCTGTTTCTCAAGGCATTTAACTTCACACATCTCACTATCAAGAACTGCAGACACATTGTTTCCCTGCTGTCATCAGGGTAATTTGTATACATCCTTAGTGTCAGAACACATGGCCACTGGAGCTGTGCTGAACAAGCAGGACATGAACAAAGCAATATTTCTCACAGTCCTTTTGACTTTATGGATAATGGGTTGTCCATTCTTTCATATCTTATGAGCAAGCTAAAGGACAGTTGCCACTTACCTCCTCACTTGCAGTAGTTATGGAATTAAGTCTTAAACACAATATTCATCCTACATGGTGCGTCTTCCTGGCCCCATACCTAATTGCAAGTTTTATACTGGCAAGGTTCATACTGGGTTGAAATGTTTTGCAATTTGATTTCTACATTTTTTAAATAAAATTACTTTGAAATGAAATATCACAATTTCAAAGAGAAAACTGTTTCAACTCAAACTTTGAAATTATGCTAATACTGAGAGCTAGTGATATTATAACCATTAGAAATAGTTGGGTTAAAGTAATTTTCAATTTAGAATTTACAAAGCTGATGGATTAAGTCTTTAGGTGGACAGGATATTCTGATAAATCTAAACCCAGCCCTCTACCTGGCACTGGGATCCACTGGTCATTATAAGTCAGTTTTGTGATGAAAACACATAAATGAAAACCAACCAGAGGGAAGATTTACAGGCCAAGAATGACTCACCTGAGTGGCTGTTTCTTTTGAAATAGGTGGTGGAGCTGGATTTTGATTTGGACGTGAGATATGTTGAATTGGAGCCAATGGAACTTGAAGACAATGATTTCCCCAGGTTATCAGAGCTCTTCTTGATGATATTGGTAGCTGTCTTACTCCAATCTGGAAGGAATAAAGAGCAGTACTTTATTAGTTGGCTTATAGAAAATACAAGCTGTCCCAAAAATCCATCACTGCGTCATTCAATCTATCCAGAAGAGTTGGTTTTCTCATATACTCGGTGACTTAAAGAAACTGATATGGAAACATTAGGAAGCCAAGGAGAGATGCATTTTGCTCTGACCCCATGCATATCCTATTTAGAATCTCACTTCAATACCCTATAGGTGAGAAACATTTGCAGGTATTTAAAAAGTTAATGACAGTTTCCTCTAAATGTTGTGTCTCCAGAAATCACTCTTCATGTAAAATGGAGTTGAGAATCTAAAAATATGGAGCCACTGTAGAGGAACCTGCAGATAGGAGTTGTCAAATTAGATGTCAAAACTCAAACAATTAAAAAAAAAAAAGACTGAACCGACTTCATGTTTCTTTTCTACAGTATTCAAGGATGGGGTCAAATGTTTGTAAGGCATTCTCAGTGGAGGCAGGTTGCTTTGACAGCATAAGGAGGAATTCCTGTGGTTTCAACTACTTCTCCAAATGAAACTCAGTTAACCCCATACCTTTACCTGAGTTGTCTGCTAGCCGAAATCTGCCACAGCAGAGATGACGCCTCCACTGTTTCTGAACATTCTCTTTCATTGCACAGTGGAAGATGAATATAAATAAACCTGTGTCAAGAGAACACGAAGACTATTTAAGCCAAATGGTACATTATTAAGATAAACATTATTAACTATGTGGAATTATCTTAAAATTTTATAACAAGCCACCAAGGGACAAAGACCTTAAGGAATGGACTCTTAATGTAAGCATTAGCCAGCTTAATCTTTTACAGAATAACAGAGAAACTCAGAATTCAGAATAAGTACATGGACCTTAGTTGACCTTTGTTCTGCATACCTTATGACATAACTACACTCCTAACACCAACGATGACTTTCACCTTTGGCTTCATTCTCATCTCTTCCCAGCATAAAATCCCAACACAAACAGCTTCTAGGACATCTTCCCTTGGCTAAAGCTTCTGTTAGCTGCATCTCAAACTCCAGATGTTCTTAACAGAAATCCTGACTGTGACTCCCAGACTACTTGAATATTCTTCTATTTCTCAGTATATCAGGCTTGTTCTCAGCCAACACCATGCTGAACACTCATTCTTCAGATCTTTTAGTAACAGTCTCCTGCCTTGGACTAGCCATTAACCCCCTAGGGAGGCCACTGTATAAAGTAATAATAATTCATTCTTAATTTAGTCCCTACTCATCCTCTTATGTGTGTTTGATTATCTTTTCCTAGTGGAAAATAAAGCTCCAAATACAGCTGTTTGTCTTAGTACTATAGCTGTTCTAGGAATGATGCCAGGAATCATACAGTGAATCAATCAATGTTATCTTAATGATTGATTCATAGTTAATAAAATGAATTCAGCCTGCAATCAATAAGTGAACATGTGTTCATTTTAAGGGATGACACGTGATTAGAAGTAGAGAGCTAAAAATAAGAACTGTGTATTGTCTGGGAAGATTTCTCAGTGGGTAAAGCAACTGCTATAAAACCATGAAGACAGGAACTCAGATTCCTAGATCCTCCATAAATACTAGGTGCTCAGGGCGATGGCAGAGATGTAGGATTCCCAGCTGGCTTGGTAAACTAGTTACACTGATTATCTTTAGGTTCAAATGAGAGACTCTACTTCAGTGAATAAGGTAGAAAGCAAATAAGACATCCAATATCAACCTTGGATGACATAGATGCAGGCACATGTGTGCACGCACATGCATACATAAACACACCTGACCACACACACACATGGATGCATACTAGCTGACACTGGTGCAGTAGAGGTCCACCCCAAAACACTTAATCAAGAGTTTATGCTTAAGGCCAGCCTAGGCTACATTGGGAGAACTTGTTACGTAACAAAACAAATAAAAATAGAAGAAACTGAGTTCTATGCAAATTAGGACTACAATGGCAATACTTTTTTTTAAATTTTTTATATTAATCACAGATTATTCACTTTTTATCCCAGCTGTAACCCTCTCCTTCAATCCCTCCCATTCCCACCCTCCCTCCCTCATCTCCTCCCAAGTCCCTCTCCAAGTCCACTGATAGGGGAGGTCCTCCTCTCCTTCCATCTGACCCTAGCTTATCAGGTCTCATCAGGACTGGCTGCATTGCTCTCCTCTGTGGCATGGAAAAGTTGCTCTCCCATCAGGGGAGGTGATCAAAGAGCCAGCCACTGAATTCATGTTAGAGACAGTCCCTGTTCCCCTTACTAGGGTACCCACTTGGACACTGAGCTACCATGGGTTACATCTGAGCAGGGGTTCTAGGTTATATCCATGAATGGTCCTTGGTTGGAGTATCAGTCTCAGAAAAGACCCCTGTGCCCAGATATTTTGGTACTGTTGCTCTCTTTGTGGAGCTCTTGTCCTCTCCAGGTCTTACTAACTCCCCCTTCTTTCATAAGAGTCCCTGCATTCTGCCCAAAGTTTTGTTAAGAGTCACGACAATACTTTTAAGGCAAAGATTCCTGAAAACATGCAAATGAGTTTTGAGATAATGGCCTCATTCTGTTATGCTACTGGTAGTGATGGTGTGTCTTCACAAGGAAGGGTCTTGTAGAAGATGTAGGCTTGAATGGAACCTTTAAAAATATTGAAGTGGAGGTAAGATGAAGGAAGTCTCTAGAAGGTTAACTTGTTAAGTGAGTATTTGTAAAGCATCAAACTTGACATTTCAAGAAGTAGAGGAAGAGGAGTAGGAGAAGGAGAAGGAGAAAGAGGAGGAAGAGGTGGCAGAAGAAGAAGAAAAGAAGGAGAAGAAGGAGAAGAAGAAGAAGAAGAAGAAGAAGGAGAAGAAGAAGAAGAAGAAGAAGAAGAAGAAGAAGAAGAAGAAGAAGAAGAAGA